TTTTTCTACCTGTAAAATTTTGTTTAATCTTACCACATTTCCTTTCTTAAGCCACCAAGTATGGTGGCCTAGAAGGAGTAAGATTAAAGTAAAGCTGAATCAAATACCCTATTTAAAAGCCCCCATGTAATGTTATCAGCCTATATTCAAAGCTATATTTGGCTATTGGTTATTTGATTGATTTTTTAGAATATTAAAAAAATCACTTACATAATGAGAATATAACTCAAGACTTCTGACTTTCGAATGCAACCACTGGAGCACATGCTGATGACCTTTTTATGGCACCATAGAAATAATTTATAAAGTTTTAAAAACCATAGTCTAGTACTTGGGGTTTAGTGCCAGAGCACAGTATATTAGAGAGGTAGCTATTTCATCCAACAAATATAAATTGATTTTAGTTTTAAGTGTGGTCTAATTCACTTAGCTTAAATTATTTAAGCATCACTTATAAATGTACTCAGTACTAAATTACAGTTGAAACATTTGTCTTCAAAAATAGAATGTTTCATTATCTAAGAGATGGAAAGCTAGGTTCACTATGAGAAGTCAACACAGCACTGTTTTTCCTAGTTTAGTTGTAGATCTTTATTTAGCATGAGGAAGCTGACATATTTTAGAGGACAGATATTTAGAGTTCCACAACCCCTAACATTATAATTCATTAATATTTTATTTGCTTTATTTAGTACAATAATACATTTATCTAGAGACTGATATAGTATGTTGAGCCTTATTCTCATTTGTATTCATGAGTCTTGATAGAAATGTTGAGTAAGCAAGTGTGTCTCAAACGTCTTTTCATCACCTTTGGGTAATCCCTCAAATGCAACTGGGTAGCAAATCTGTACGATTCTTGCCAATACTACGTGGTAGCTCAAAAAATTCTTTGTGTAAGGACATACAAAGGCCATACCCTATTTCAAGCATGCAGTTGGAACTGCATAGATAGAGGCTGTGTTTTCCATAACACTTTACATAAGACTGAGACTATTTGAATTGTCCATCTCCAAGAATGGGGATGGAGCTAGTGGAGATCAAGCCATTTTCTGTTGCCACTGCTATCTGTTCAGAGGACTAATCCACTTAGGAGGCACCAATAAGTGAACTGTTTGCCTTTGGGATACGAAAATCCCTGGCAAACTCAGTAAAACATTTAGTTAAACTTCCATGGCATTCTAGAGACTGCTTTTAATTAGATCTAACACCACTTGTTTATACATTAGATACCTGTGGTAGGCTGAATTGAACTTAAACTGATTTATTAGTCACCAAATACTAAGCAATCAGCTCAGGTAAACAGCTGTTATTCAAATTTAGAAGTATTATACTCCTTATATTCCATAGACTGAGTGCATAGGATAAGTAAACACGCATGTAAAGGACTCTCTGGACACTCTTAGAGAATGTTTTCAGATTAAATAAGCTTCAAATCAAAATCCAAACCAAAAAATCACACCATAAAAGTATCTGAGGGGCGCATGGATGTCTTAGTCTCTTGACTGTCCAACTCTTGACTGCAGCTCAGGTCATGATCTCAGTGTTGGTGAGATTGGATCCCTGATGTCAGCACAGGGCCTGCTTGGCATTCTCTCTCTCCTTCTCTCTCTCTCTCCCTCTCTGCCCCTCCCCTGCTTACTTGCACATGAGCAAGCACACTCTCTCTTTCTCTCTCTCTCTCAAAATAAATAAATGAACATTAAAAATATATATCTGGAAGTGTTTTAAAGTTCAAAGTTGGTAACCCAAAAGCTAAGGGGAAATGAGAATCTTAATGCTTAATTATTAATTGTTTTACTCTTTATTTAAAAGGCATTTATTTTCTCCCATTTGGAAGGCTTGTGGCCACTACATTTTCAAAAGAGGGCAGATATTTTACCAACTTAAATGTGAGTAATAATCCATATAAGTGTGTGCATGACACGAGGCAAAAAGTCAACAAATATTTGTTGAATGAATAAATAAAATTATATGAAGAGAAAATATTTTTCAAACATTCTATAGTAAGCCATCAAAATCATATGGGAATAATATCATTTGTTTATAAGGGATTTTTTTTGCCATCAAAATAACTTTTCTTCCTAAATACCTAATTTACCTTAACTGGGTGTTTGCTTAAAGATCAATTTGGAAAAAACCAACTTATTTTTTTAATAATTATATGACATAATGGGAAAATCTGGTTTTATTAAAGGAAATTGATCAGGTTCTTGGTTGAGTTAATAATTAGTTGATCTATGCAATGAAACTCTTCCTCATTGTATTTATAAATACAAACCTACGTACATAATTAGAATTCCATTTAATTATATTAAAACCCAAGTGTAAAGTGTATAGATTTATATTAACACTGTTCTATTATATATATATTATATATATATAAAATATATATAATATGTATATATAAAACCTGTTATATTAACACTAGTTTAAGTCAGTAAAATAGGATTACTCTGAAAAATAAAAAGTAATCTATAACAGGGAAAGAAAGATATCATCCAAAGGTGAACACTGTATTATCAAAACAAGACAACACTGATATTTCTGGATGAAGGAAGCAACCTACTCTTACTGTGTCTGTCTGGGATCTTTGTTAACCTGTTGTGCTTGAGAGTCACTCTCACCCTTCAGAACGTCCAGGGCAATAATAGCCTCAGCACCACCCTAGTGTCCTCCCAACCACTGGAGAGGATCCCACGGTAGCCCCTGTTACCTCCAAACCAGGCCCTCTCTTCAGTTTCATCATCTCTTTTCCTGGTGCTGTGAGATGCATAGAATAAACTCTTTATCACCTTCATAAACTTATATGTATATAATGTATATTAATAATAATTTATATCAACAAAGCACATTTTCCTTTTATGTACATAATATAACACCCTGTTTGCTTCACGTCACAGATCAGTGTGCATTATACATATTTCTGTTTTCAAATTTCTCTATTTTCTCTGTTACAGAACTCTGAAACTTTGATATAAAATACTGCAGAATCAGTTTTTAAAAATGGATCATAATTAATCGAATTATACCCTTATCTATTGTATTAAGGTGTTTTCTCTCTGCTTTGTATAGTATAAACACAACCATAAGATATTCTTACAACTACTTCTGGCAGTAGGAGGATATTGCCATTTTGAAGATTCTTAATGCATAAGACAAAATGACATTCAAAAGAGTTGGACTCTTTTGTCAATACACCAACAGTGCCTGGAATTGCATTTTTTATCAAAACCTCATTAACACAGGGAATTGCCAATACAAGAGAGTCTTTGGGGCGTCTGGGTGGCTCTTGCCATCGGCTCTGGTCATGATTTCAGGGCTCATGAGACTGAGCCCCTTTTGCCTGTCAGTGCAGAGCCTGCATGGGATTTTCTTACTCTCCCTCTGTCTCTTCCCCTCCCACCCTTGCATGTTCTCTCTCTCTCTATCAAAATAATAAAATAGACTTTTTTTTTAAAGAAAAGAAACTTTTGATAGACTTCTATCTTTGAAAACATATTGTAATTATGTGGGTAAATCCTCAAGTAATAAGGAATTTGGTTATTTTTACATGTTCATTAGTCTATATATATTCCCAGTTTTATTGGGACATTTTTTTCTTGTACTGATTTTAGGGACTTTAAGCATAATATCAATACTTCATTGTCATGACCTATTTCTTAAGCTTGTCATTTGCCTTATACTTTCATATGATAACTCGCAAATATTGGAGTTTTAATTTGTATGTCGTTAAATATATTAATTTCTGCATAGTTCTTTTTTATGTTTAGTAAACTCTTCACTATCATGATAATAAATATTCAGCAAAATTTCCTTTAAATTGCTCTATTATTTAGAAATTTACTTCTTCTTACTTTCTGCTCTGTCTGAAATATGTATTTGTTGTATGGTATACATGCTGGACAAGTATATTTTTAATTTTTCCAATTTTTAAATTTTCTTATTTGTATGATTTGTTGAGTATTTCCTCCATTCTTCAGTGCTTTTTCCCCATTATGTTTCAGAAACCAAATACTGCATATACCCACTGACATATCACACAGTCTGTTTCTCTACATTGGATTCTGTTGTATCAATTTGACTATCATGTTGATTTTTCTATTTAGAGGGCACATTATTTAACTTGATACTGCATATTTAAATGCAAGTTTTTCTAGAACTCTTTATTTTATGCATTTATTTGGTGCAATTATCATGTATTTTTCTTAATGGATCAATAAAAGAATTGAGGGAGAAATAACAGCTTTATACATTTGAGCCTTCCAATAGAGGAATATATAATATGACTTCTTTAAGTCTTCTGTTTTGTCTTTGACTTAAGATTTACAATTTTTGGGGCGCCTGGGTGGCTTAGTCGGTTAAGCATCTGACTTTCGCTTAGGTCATGATCTCGCGGTTCGTGGGTTCGAGCCCTGCATCGGGCTCTGTGCTGACTGCCAGCTCAGAGCCTGGTGCCTGTTTCAGTCTGTGACTCCCTCTCTCTCTGACCCTCCCCTGCTCACGCTGTCTCTCTCTCTCTCTCTCCTAGAAATAAATAAAACATTAAAAAAAAAAGATTTACAATTTTTATCCTGTGATTCTGTACATTTCTTATTGAATTTAAGAGTTACCTTCAAAAGTGAAAAGGATTTTTGGGTTTTTTTTTCCTGTTTTCTCTGCAACTTGATAGTTCTAATTAAAGTTCAAGGTAATTTCTGCAAATGTCCCTTTCAGTTACATGACACTGAATGGTGGAGCAACATCACAGAGCTTTTAAGATATCTCTGGAATCAAGCATATTTGCAAACACATGTCATCACTCTTTACCTGTATGATCTGGAACAAGATACTTGAGCTCTTTTTCATCTCTGTCTTCTCATTTATCTCAGAATTACTAGCAGAAACATTTCTTAGGTATCTTGTAAAACAGAAATAAGCCAGTAACACCCAAATGCTTTTAAAGTGCCAAACAATTGGAAGTACTCGATTGTAAATCTTTATTTTTTTAGGTGCTCAAGTGTAAGATGTTAGCTATTATTAGTAGCATTATATCTTACTACTAAAGTATAATGAGAATATTGATATGGTTGATAGGTTAGTATGATGAAGAAAAGGAGCGTAATACAGTCAATGTGTTTAGTCAGATTACTTAACTGAGTCATCCAGACATCAAATACAGTGAGTCATCCAGAAGTGTATCACTCTTGTCAAAACAAGTGAGAACATCGTTTGATTCTGGAGAGAAGATCTATGACAGCTGAAGAAACATAAAATACAAACAACAATTATTTTAGTAGCATTTAAAAAGTTTATTATTATTATAATGACCTCTTAAGTTATATTTCTATGCTATTACTTAATGTTAATTACATGAGTTTCTGGTAATACATCAGTTTGGTAAAACCAATATTTTAATTTATCTTCATAGATCTTAATTTATTGAAACAATAACATTTTTAATGGAAGTTCTTAAAATTTTTTTAATGGTTTTCATTTATTTCTGAGAGAGAGAAACAGCATGAAAAGGGGAGGGTCAGAGAGAGAGAGGGAGACACAGAATCCGAAACAGGCTCCAGGGTCTGAGCTAGCTGTCAGTACAGAGCCCAACGCGGGGCTCAAACCCACGAACCATGAGATCATGACCCAAGCGGAAGTGGGACGCTTAACCCACTGAGCCACCCAGGGGCCCCTGAAACAATGTTTTGAATAGTGACACAAACAGCTAATCTTTGAGGTAAATGAACTGGCATTTATTATCTTATTCATAAAAAATTAATAATAACAATATTCATTCCTGATTCTGGAAAAATAATGGACTAAGATATTTACAAATTTTTCAGTTATAAAGACCTAGATTTGCTGAATCAAATAGCGATAAAATTTTAAAAATCAATAAAAATAAATGTCCATCTATATTTTTATATTTCACTGAGTTAACATGTAAGTTCAGTATAAGAGTAAACACTTTTTCTTCAGAAAAAAATTTATCAGTTGTACATTCGTAGAAAAGTGCAAGTGAATCCAGATGATTAAGAGAGATGCTTGAAACAATACTGTGCAAATAAATTGCTAAGTCTATCAGTAAATCTGAGCAATCAAAAAATGTGGAAAACAGTAATGATAATAATTACCTATTTGGGTGTAAATAAATATAATAATAAATAAGATAAAATTGGATTGATTAAAATTAAAGCATTCAAAGTTTACATTATTCAGAAAGAGGCTAGCAGAGACAGTGATTAAATTGTGAAATTTCCGAAGTCAAAAATGATTGTGAAAATATCAGCATTGTGTTACAAGTATAAATATACAAAGTTTTGTTGCCAAAGTAGTAGAAGGAATAACAAAAAATGAAGCAAGCATAATAAATAAAATAGCAGACAGATAAATATATCTAATAATATATGCTACTTATAATGTATTGTATAATCATAATATAAGTGTGTATCATTCATATATTTAGTAATAAAGGAGATGATAGAGAATAAAAATAGCAAAATGCATAAATTTATATATGTATGTGAACTTATGTATGTATGTATACAAACCAGTGCATATTGTATGTGTGTGCAAATGAGTGACAAAAAATAATGAGATTATTTCTGCGATTTCACACAAACATAAAACTGTACTTAAACTGTGTATCTCTACAAATGAAATGTTGGCATCATAAAGTAAACATTTCAAAAATGAAATGGACATTGAAAACTTCACAATCAGATTTATAGATTTTAATAGAAACTATCTACACTGGATAGATAAAATAGACAAAAAGTGAGCAATGCTACAAAATATTGTAAGAATGTAATTAACAAATCTGATCTACAGAACATATATAAAATTTTGGTTTAAGAAATCACTAAATACTTGGGACACCTGGTTGGCTCAGTCGGTTGAGTGTCTGACTTCGGTTCAGGTCATGATCTTGCAGTCTATGGTTTCTAATGGCCCAGAGCCTGCTTTGGATTCTGTGTCTTCTTTTCTGCTCCTCCCTCACTCACACTCTGTCTCTGTCTCTCTCTCTCAAAAGTAAATAAACATTAAAAAACCAAAAATAAATAAATAAATAAAAATGTAAAATCAGTAAACACTTTAATCATACATGAAAAATTTATAAACACTGAGCACGTATTAAGCTGAAGAAAAAAAAGAATCTCAGCACAGACTAACTGAATGAGTTTACACCAAACAGGATCTCTATCCCAATGGATTGTTCTTTCTTTCTTTATTTTTTGAATGTTTACTTATTTTTGAGAGAAAGGGAGACAGAGCATGAGCGGAGGAGTGACAGAGAGAGAGAGATACAGGAGCTGAAGCAGGCTCCAGACTCTGAGCTGTCAGCACAGAGCCCGATGCGGGGCTCAAACCCACAGACCGTGAGATCATGACCCCAGCCGAAGTTGGATGCCTAACTGAATGAGCCACCCAGGTGCCCCATGTATCTCAATGGATTCTTAGACCTCAATAATGAAGAGATAGAACTCAATGTTTTAATTTAATGAATTTAAAAATAGACTCCAAAATAATTTTTGAAGACATAATTCATGTGAAAAATTAGACACATGAATACATGAACATAGCATTACAGTACTTTTAGGGTACAACTAAAATGGCATTTAGAAGATAACTTATAGTTTCATACATATTATAAAGACAGAAAGATTGAACATTCATGTATAGGAGCTCAAAAAGCTGCAAAAGATAATAAAGTGAAAGGTAATGAAGGAAATTATACATGTTATTGTTAAAGTAAAAATTAAAGAAAATATAGGTAACAAGAAAACCAAAACTTTATTTTTTATTTTTAATGAGTTTTTTAAATTATTTTAAGTATATTTATTTATTTTGAGAGAAAGAATGAGCAGGGAAGGAGCAGAGAAAGAGAGACAGAAAATCCCAACCAGGCTCCACGTTGCCAGCACAGGGCCCAATGAGGGGCTCGAACTCATGAACCATAAGATCATGACCTGAGCTGAAATCAAGAGTCAGATGCTTAAGCTACTGAGTCACCGAGGTATCCCAAAACTGTTTCTTTATAAATGGAATGAAATAGAAAAATCTCATCTGGTATTATTGATAAGAAAGATGAGGGAAGTTACAAATAATATATAGAATATTAGACATTTAATATATAAGGTAATATTATAAACCAATTGTATGAGATTAAATTATGTTACATGTGATGTTATATGGTAATATGATATATGTAAATTATATCCCATTTACAAAAGAAAAAAGTTCAAATCCTAAAGGAAAGACGATTGTTACAAAAAGATGCAATTATCTAAATTGATAACAAAAAAACAAAACGGACCAATTAGTATTCACACACATGAACCACACATGATTTTTTAACAGAATTCTCCCTAACTTTTCAGAAACAGATAATCTATATGAAACAAATTGTTCCAAATGATACAACAAGAAGGAATTCATTTACTCGTTTTATGTTATGAAAAATATTAGTAACAAAGATAAGGAGCATGAAACTGTGCAAGAAGAAAACTATAGGCCAATTTCAGCTATGAATACTGATACCGCAAAAACCCGAAACAGCCATCATCTTTAAAATAAAACCTCACATGCAAACACACAGATAAACCATCCCTGCCTTTTGTAATAAACAATGTGCTGGAAATTGCAGCCCATGCACCAGCCAAGGAAAATAAAGGGACAAAACAATACTCTTGTTATGAATAGATATACTGTCTGTCGAGAAAGCTCAACATGTTCTGTAGGCACATTATTTCAACTGATAATAATGTCGAGGAAGTTTGTTGCTTATAATAACAATAGTACAAAAAGCAAAAGTGATCAAATACATTCTAATGGTAAGATCCATAGTGTTATTGTTTGGGTCCTGCTGTTATAAAAATCCCAAGAAATGATTCGGTTGTTGTTCTTTAATCTTAAAGTAAACTATGATTTATTTAAATACCTTTCTTTACAATTTTATATTATTATTTATGACCTTGTTAGTTCTGTATAGATTGTAATGCTATTGATTTTTAAAGAAACTATTCTATGTTTAATGTCATGAAAAATAAAACTTAGGGTGTATATTTTTCAAGCAAACCATGAAAATTGGCAACATTTGTTATTGATTCTGTATTAAACACATTTCTGCTTGTCAATTTTTCTAAGATAATATAATTTAATTATTAAGCATGCAATAATAATCTTGAGCTAAGATTTATTTCTTAACTGGGTTAATCTTAAATTCTTACATTTTTCCTTTCTTAGAATGAATTTGAAAACATTAAAATCTCCCCAGTTTCTTTAATGGGGTAGAAAACACACAAAATGTATCTTCTTAATAATTTTTAAATGTATAGAATAACAGTATTAAGTCCAGACACATTGTTTGTAGGAAAATCATTAGTTTTACAGTCTTAGAGCCTATGTTTTCCTCTTCAAGTTTAGAGATTTATGGCTATAGTGAAATCTTCTTAATGTTTCTCTTTGAATATGTATCTTTATGTCGTTTTTTTATTTTTATTTTTGAGACAAAGTAACCATGCACACACATGAGGGAGGGGCAGACAGAGAGAGACAGAGACAGAGTGAGACAGAGAGAGAGAGAGAGAGAGAGAGAGAGAGAGAAAGAGAGAGAGAATCTTAAGCAGGTTCCACACCCAGCAAGGAGCCAGATGGGGGGCTTGATCTCACTACTGTGAGATCATGACCTGAGCTAAAATCAAGAGTCAGGTGCTCAACTGACCGGGCCACCCAGGCACCCTGCTTATGTCATTTTTTTAAAAGTCTCCTCCATTTGATTTGAAGACTATTTTGATTTCATTTACCTAGAAAACTGGTAAACTGCAAAATATATGTATGAGTAAAATATTGTTTAAAATATCTATATCTCTATGTACATGATATCAGTAATTAATCAACAAAAATGAAAAACATTACTTCAGAAATAAGATTGTGGGGCACCTGGGTGGTTCAGTAGGCTAAGCAACTGAGTTTTGGTTTGGGCTCTGGTCATAATGCCAGGGTTATGAGATCAAGCCCTCAACACAGAACCTGCTTGGGATTCTCGCTCTCTCCCTTTGCCTCTCTTGCTCTTTAGTGTTCTTTCTCTCTCTCTCTCAAAAATAAAAATAAATAAGTAGGTAAAAATAAAAAGTCTCTTTCCTTTTGGCTACAGGCACATGTACTTACAGATATGAAAAACAAAATCTGAGATAGTCTCTGAATTTCAATATTATCAAGACAGCTCTAGTCAACTCAGACCATTCTTACCTGCAGTGAGAATGGTAGGTGATTCGACAGTAGTTCTTGCATATAATTCTAACTTGGAAGAAGAAAGCAGAGCACTTTTCTCTATGGTCACTAAGCTGTCTCAACTAACCTTAGTTTCTGGGGGCTTGCCGAGCTAGCCTGTGGTGAAGATGGTGGTGGGTGGAGATGGGCTTATCCAATGCCATAATCTACTCGTATTGGGTTAATGTTTGCTGTTATAACTAGTACCCACTTTCTATACCACGCAAGCTGACCATTCACAATGGGGATGTGGCCTGGCCTGGAAATGACAAGGTACTGGAGTGTGGAAAGCACTGAGTCCGAACCCTAAGGCTAGTATTTGGTATTTTGAATCTGTCTTTTGATGAGTAATTTCAACTCCGAACTCTATTTTTATTACAGTAAACTGTGAATAATAATGACTACTTTCAAAGATTATTATATGGATTAACTAAAAAAAGGTATGAAGTTACTGTGTATTTTTGAAATGGGAAGCACGGTTATAACTTTTCTAACTTGATCCCCAAAGTAGTGACTGAGAGAAACATTCAGTAGGAAGTAAAGTAATATGTCTATTCTTTTATTTTAGTTATATAAAATATTCCTAGAACTAATATTCTAAAAAACTAAATTTCTTAGTTTTCAAGCATGATTCTTATTATATTCACAAGAAAAATAGACAAACCCAGGTAATAGTTGGGAGAGATAATCTCTGATTAAAAATAAGCCTTCCACAGGTTCTAACTTTTAAACGATTCAAATATAGTCATCTCATGGGTATAAATGATGCCTGTGTGTGCATTAACTCATTTGTATTTTCATGTCTCACTGCAAATGATCTACAATATTAATGTAGAAATGGTTTGGGATCAAAATAGGGAATTGTGATAGAAATAGAACAATCGTTAGAGAAAAAAACTGATGATAAAATGTCTTTCAATTGTTATACTATAGTTTTACTCATGAATTAAATGGCAAAATTGCAATTTAAAAACAATAGAAATACCTTGGAATGTTGGGAAAAAGGAATTTTCATGATTTTAGATCTTCAATGTTTTTTGGAAAATGGGAACACTTTTTGGTTTATAATGGGCTTATTTACCTTAAGTGGTATTCTGGTAAGATAGTATGCCTCTCAAAAATGTTGCCTATAGCATTACCTGCTCTCTACATGCTTTTGAAATGTCTCATTGAAAGAAAATTGGTATAAGTGAGAAAATTAGTATTTGTATGGCAATTTTCAGACAGTAAAGCAGACAAAAATTGAGGTGAATTAAGTAAATTTCCGGAGGAAATTATGGGAATAGAATTTTCCTGTTAAATGTGGTAGCAAATTATCTAATGATGTCCATTAAGAATCAGCTGATTAATACATTGTTCCTCTAATGACAAGTCTCTAATCAACAGGCACATCTAGTGTCAGCATTGGGCAAGTCAAGGAACAAAGAGGAAGGATGTAAGTACTTTGATCTTTTTAGGATCAACAGGCATTTGACAGGCTTTAAATCATTTTAGTGATAGCAACTATCTTTTAATTGAATGAACCCTTAATAATAGGACAGCATCTTCCATTTAGATACATCTTAGAGACTTTCAGATGGCATTATATTAGATTCACGAGAAAGCTGATGTTTTTATTGACAAAAACATGATAAAACTTATAGAATAAAATAGCAAAAAATGGAAAAATATAAAAGGAAGAAAAATTATTTAATTGAATGGAAAAATATACAAGGAAAAGTCTAGAGTCTCCTGTCTTTTTGTGATATCCAGGATTTTACTTTTTAGCTTTAATTTAGTATTAGTGTCTTGTCTAAGGGATTTCAATTCACTTTGTATCTTTCGAGAGCATGTCTCTTTTTAAAAATAAATTAATTGTGACAGCATTAATAGGGGCACAAATGAATTTTTAAAGGAAAAGCCCAGGGAAAATGTTGTATTTGCTTACAAGGGAACATAATTAACTGCAGAAAAGCAGCTTGTTTTTAAAAAAACAAAAAACAAAAAACAGAAATACCAGTGCTGCGATTGTAGGTTCTATTGATTATTCCTGTTTGGAACAGTGATCATTAGTAAGTGTTTTGGCCCAGAGATTCAGATTATAAAGCTTGATGCTGAGCAATCAGGCATGATTTACTATGGGAAGCAACAGGGGATGAGTTTTTCTACAGTGTGGCAGATGGAGACTGGAAAACCATTAGAATCAAGGAATACAAAAATGTAGCTTCTTATGATAATCATAACTTGCTTACAGCTCCATTCTGTGATAATGATAGAAATTCCATGATTATTGCCTTTCATATTTTCTTTCTACATAAGTTTCCATCCATGGGTTCCACGGGTGGCTCAGTCATTAAGCATCTGACTGTGGCTCAGGTCATGATCTCATGGTTGATAGTTCCAGCCCCACATCAGGTGAACTCGAGACCCTCATTCAAGTGAACACGAGACCCACTTCTGGTAAACCAGGAGCCCAACTTCAGGTAAAACAAGAGCCCTGCTTTGAATGATCCCTAGTTCTCTCTCTCCCTCCCACCCCATCCCTCACTCACTTGTGCCCTCTCTGTCTCTCTCTCTCTCAAAAAAAAAAAAAAAAAAAAAAAAACCTTCCATCCACATTCATACATGTGAATACACATGTATCTAAGAAATCTCTGTATCAAATGCATACTCATGTATATAAACAGTACATTTAAGGGTTTGGGGGTTTTTTTGCTTAACAATCTTCCTTGTTTATTATAATAATAAAATTAATTATATTAGTAATTCAAAATGGGAAGTTGAAGATGCCATGTATAGATTATATCTTTTCACAAGTATTCCTTTTTTGTCATCAGGAAAAGAAGCATATTATTTTTGTTTTACTACTACAACTCTAATAATAAAAATAACAGGAAGACCCACAGATAAGAAACATATTATAAGCAGTGTTTAAAGCTTTAGGTAATTTATATTTTTGGATGCAAATCATGAATACTTAGAAGGAAATTATTTTGAGGTATTGCAGATGAAATTAAATGCTTTTAAAATATATCTGTATGTCTTTTTCTGTATTTTTTTCTATTCTCGTACATTCTGGATAATATTGAGTAAATACCTGAAGCAATGATTAAATAGATGTAAAAGGAAGGCCTTCATGGTGATAAGATTCCCAGGAAGTTCACAGAGTAGAGTCTGAGTGATCTGTGAACCTGGACATGAATTCCATGATGGGAAAGGTAAACTCCAGGTGAATCTTGAGTTACAGAGGTGCTAGGTAATAGGAAAGCCAAGGGTAGGAGTCAAAAAATATACTTCAGGATAAACTTGCTATTTGTGGCCTTACATTTTATTTACTGGCATTTGTTTCCTACTTAGAAAAAAATAACTATGACAACATGGAGCCATTTTCTTTCCCTTTACTTTGTTTTCTAGTTTTTACTCCAGAATCCACCTCTCTGAAGCTCTTTGTGAGAAATCGTGAAGCTCCATGAAACTCCTATTATAAGTTATACCAGTGCAGAGCAGCTTGTTTGTTCCTGATTATATCTCATGGAAGCCCCCAGCTTGTCTGACTCAACTCACACAGTGATTCGCATTGAGGCTACTGAGGAGAAGAGGCAAACATGTGACAGAAGAGGCAAATATTTCTCCCTTTAAATCTGATAAGCAAACCATGAGCTTTAGAGGATTTGTACCCATAACAACTCTAATAATGGAGACAGTACTCATTTCTTTCTTATTTTTTTAATTAAAAGGGCATCTCGGAAACATCTGCTAGAAAATATATGATTTCTTAGTTTTGAGAGAAAAGTAGTTAATAAATGTTGAGACTGTTAAATGTGGCTGTTAGATAACAAAAGAAATTCCATGATGCACCCAGAAAAATCAGCTTCATTCGATCATAGATCACTCTCATCAGGATCATATGTCTTCCATTTGAACCTTTCATGTTGAAAGCTCAGAAATTTCACTGTATTTATTTCTTGAGGGTGATAGGGAAAATGGGCTGTCTGACCTCTAAGTGGGAGAGGTTGGCAAAGATGTGTCGGACTGCTGAGAAAAGTTTCTAGAAATAGATTATCAACTGTGAATAGTAGTTGCCTCATTGGATCATCGGAGTAAAATGAGAGTGCATTGTGTATTCCAGTAACTGCATAGCATGACACACAAAATTACATGTGTTTTCTTCTAACTTCCGAAAATCTCTCCTTTTCTTCCTCCAAGTCAAATGTCTGCAAATCACTGTTAAGGAAGAGAAGCATTTGCATATGACCAAGAGAACATCTATTGATGACCTAAGAACAATGAAGAGAAGGCAAGTTTGTCTCTTCAGGTGTTAACCCATTCCCCAGCCCCTCTCCATGTTCCCTCTGATTACACACCTACATCACAACTAGATTGAGTACTTTATGGCATCATTCTTATATTACTAATATTGCACATTATGTAGCAAATATCTTCAATAGTTATTGTAAATTGATTGATTTGATCCACTCTGGAAGCCAAATGTAAGTTTAGAAACCTATTCATTATGGTATTGCTCTCAGACAATATAACTGAGAACCTAAAGATTAAGAAATTATTTTTGAATAGCATATTTATATCCATAACATTTATTGTATTTTATTTAAAAGGGATGATTAGTATACATAAGAAAATAATTTAATAAGATATTTGAGCCAATGAGCATAGAGACACAGCTAAAGAGGGATAGAAGTAGAGTTAGGAGGAAAATGAGAGAGATTCAGGTGTCAGGTTTTGCTAACTTGAAGAATAAAGAGTGACAATAATTAGCTGAAACTGATACATCATTCTCTTAATTGGCTGTGATTTGGATTTATACATAATGCTTTTGGAGAGAAGACAAGACTGGCTATAGTTCCTGGAAACATGGGAGAAGATAACAAATCATAGGGAGTTATGATCCTCCAGAGGAGAGGTATGCTAGATGTTACCTTCTCCTTTACCTTCTTCTCTATATTATGTACAAATCCAAATCACATCCAATTAGGAGAATGATTTGTCAGTTGCAGCCAATTATTTCAGATCTACAATAGGCCTACCTTAAGGTTGAACTTCTCATTGAATAAGACTATACATTTTTAAGTGCATTATCCTAGGCCTATCAAACACTAGAAAACTGGATCTCCCTCTCTTAGGGTACATCTTTGGTTAATGCAAATATTATAAATGGACTTATGAAAAAATATGGTGGGTGACTATCAAGAAAGTGGATTTACTATTGAAAATTGTGTAATAACCAGTGTTTTTAAGTTTGGAATTTTGAATCCATCTCAGCTTGCACTTCATTTCTTCTTCCCTCTTCTCATATATATCAAGTTCTCTTTACATTCACAGAACTCCTAAAAAACTTATATAGATTGTATTTAACATTAAAATAATCTTCTCTCTAGAACCACATTTAATGACATATCTAACCCAACTCTTTCCAACCCACTTAATTCTCTCAACTAAGAAATTTAGCCTACATACCTGTTGGTGTTCCTGACTGGCAATACTAGTTTCCTGATGATTGTATATACATATTTAGATTTTATTTGACATCTCTCAGAGAGAAATAATTAAACCACGTAAAAGAAATGGAATCACGGTGCCTGAATGGCTCAGTTAGGTGAACAGCCAACTCTTAAAGTAGGCTGAGGTCATGATCCCAGGGTTGTGGGATTGAGCTCTGTGTGGGGCTCCACGCTGAGTGTGGAGCCTGCTTCAGAATCTCTCTCTCTCTCTCTCTCTCTCTCTCTCTCTCTCTCTCTCTGTTTGTCTCTCTCTCTCACCCTTTCTCACCCCTCTCTCTCTCCTTGTCCTTTTCTCCCCTACTCCCCTACTGGTGCAGTCTCCTCCCCGCCTCACTAAAATAAATAAATAAATAAATAAATAAATAAATAAATAAATATTAAACAAAATAATTTTAAAGAGTGGACTAGACCAGAAAACAAAATAAAATAGATTTCTTGAATTACTAGTCACATATTGTAATTTTATAAGTACTAAGAACAGAAAAATACAATATAGAAATCTGAGCAATTATTAAGCAAGGTCGAGTTATTTAAGGAGTGCTTCTTAAATCTGTACACCTGAAAAGAAACATTTCAAGTAGCAGCTTGATATTCTGCAGTAGTACAATATTTACTCTATGGCCATAGAATTGTAGCTAATATACAATATCCTCAACTTTGATGCGGCAAGACTGTGTTCAATAAGATAAATTCAATATTCGCCTTTTAACATGAGTTGGAATGCAATTGCTTTTATTTATAGCTCCTAGGTTATAGGTTGTAATTTTAACAGACAGAAGAAATGTTTCTATTTTGAAGGAGAATAAAACAAAACTAGACAACACAGTGCATTAGTCGTCTCTTCTTACACAGCTTCATACAGTAATGAGGGAATCAATACATTATAGGCCATATTGGTCAGCAGAGACTGCAGTGTACATTATGCAGCCATCATGTGGTGTTTCAGCAGGGCAGTTTCCATTAATGACAGTGAAATTTATACTGCTGAAATTTCACAATATGATTTAAAAGTATACTTTACAGAATATATTTTAAGGAGTTGCAGTAAGCCTTTTGTTATAGTATAAATGAAAGCATTGTGTGACATCACATCTAATAAACTTTTAGTTTAGTTTAGTTTTTTTTTTTTTAAGCTCAAAAGTTCAGCAGATGGTGGCAATGAAGAGTAAACAACAAGTACAGCAGTAGTTAGATACAAATTGTACCAAGGACAAGTCATGGTCAACATAATTGTGTAGAGGTGTGTCTTTTCTGACTTCTAGTTTTGAATATAAAAATAGAAATTACAGATGTGGCTTAATCCAAAAAATTCAGGTACCTCATCTTAATTGTTGTCTTACATGGTTTTTGAATTTTAAATGTTATGGAGGGAACATGGTTTAATTAAGCAAAGGATGTACTATATACAGTTTACAGGGTATGAAACAGGCATCTTATTTGTGGCAACAGGAAGTAATTGATAACTATCACTACAGAAGAATCTATTAACTTTTAGTTCATCTCCACTGTTGTTAGTAACTAGGCTATCAGCCAGTTATACAAAATCTTGGGATCTATACCATTCCCCTTGAAACACTTATTCTATGTTCATCTAGATACATCTGAGTCAAATTGTTCACTTTCATATAAACACTGGTGTTAGAATGCTAGCATTCATATCCCAACTCTGATACTACATAATTGTGTCATACTGAACAAGTTACTTACTCTCTCTGCCCAAGGTTTCTTATTTGGAAAATAAAGCAGCAGTCCCTACAATCGAGATAGAGAATTAAGCGAGTTAATACATGTAATGTGGTTAAAATAGTGCCTGGATTATTATAAGTAATAAATGCCAATCATTATTACATCAATGTTATATCATTACTTATCTCCCTCTTACTGCTCCTCATTCTCCTACTGCTGTCTGAAGAAGATGTGTACTAAAGGGTTTAGTTTCTTTGTGTGATTGAAAGTTTAATCTTTAAAGTACTTTAATGATACTATAATTGATATTTCTGATCTAATTTTGTTACTATTCAACTCCAAGTGGATCCCAAAATGCTAGCTGTGAGACTAATTCCAATACAGTTAAGCTCATGCCATCGTTTTCCAATTCCAATGCTTCACAATGATTCTGAAATATTTCTGTGCACATCTCTTCCTGTAGCCAGGGCACAGGAGTAGCTTCCTGTAGCTCCTGCCTCCGGGGGTCCCAAACAGACCAGGTTCAGCCACTGACAAAAACCAAAGGCAGAGAAATGAGTAGTGGTGAAATGAGAAAGACATTTATTTCAGTGAGACTTCTACTGGGAAGACAGAGCACTAGTGTCTCAAACATGATCTCCAAAGTGCTGAAAATGCTTACAGGTTTATAGAAGGAGAATGGAGAATGGGAGACAGTGGTGGGCAGGTACATGCAGGTGGGCAGGAAGGTAAATCATTATTGTTTTGGATTCAAACAGGGGTGAGTTCTTGTTGCTCAAAGCAGTCCTTATTGCTTGAGGGGTTAGTTTCCGTTTCTATCAGGGAATGCTCTTCCCTCAGGGTCTTATACCTGAGCCAAGAGACAGCTAGAAAGAACCCAATTAGAAAGTTTGAGGGCAAGATGGAGGCAGCTGAAATAGGATTTCGTATCCCATGAAATAGGATTTCATTAACCATATATATATATATATTTCTTGTGACTGTGGGAGAGAGGTTATGTAAACATCCCTAGTTTTATGCACACTGAGATTATCTTTGATTGGATTGTTACCAGGAATAGACTAGTCCATCATTCTCAAATCACATAGATTAACTTGATTAATGTTCTAGTATTTAAAGAAGGTAGATAGTACCTACTTGCTGCCTCACTGGGATTTTATTGCTTAGTTTTGAATAATTTAAGTAGGCATAATGTAAAAGGTTGTAAAGCTCAGGAAAAAGAATTCATATTGGGTTTAGGATTCCCTCTAGAACATTTACCTGAGCTGTAAATCAAAAGACAGAGTTACTGTCAGTTTCCTTGAGTAGAGCTATCCCCAAGGCCAGAAAATCTGGTAGCAATGACTGTCTAATTCTCAAAGATCAAGCCGCCCCAAGTTTTTGTAAGATAGTTGAAAAATATACATAAAATCCTCCCTTCCTTTGACTTCTTTCTTTATCAAGGTGGAACTGTGCCACCTGCATAGAACTAAGTTACTTTATGGGGCACCTGGGTGGCTCAGTCGGTTAAGCTTCTGACTTTGGCTCAGGTCATGATCTCATGGTTTGTGGGTTTGAGTCCCGCATCAGGCTGTGCTGACAGCCAGCTCAGAGCCTGGGGCCTATTTCAGATTCTGTGTCTCCCTCACTCTCTGACCCTCTCCTGCTCACGCTTTCTGTCTCAGAAATAAATAAAACATTTTAAAAAAAATAAGAAGTTACTTTACTTTTGTGGTTAATTTTGCTCTAATGGTTGTTTACTTTGTCATTATAACCTGACCCTAAGTGTCACAATTGAGAAAATAATACTGTGTTACTTATTGACCCTAAACCCAGAGGTGTTCCTACACAAGACATTTCTACTACTCTGATAATTATATCTATCATCATTCTTATCCTTTCTACTCTCTACTAACCTCAGCTTTTCAAGTCACTGGAGTTCACTTTGCTTACCTAAGAGCCTCAGTCCCCTTTGATTTGCTGGCATTCTATATAGAGTTCTCTAATTACCTTAGTGGATGGGACAGTCGTTTAAAATTCTTTTTGGCCTAGATCATGGCTTTGAGTGAAGGAGAGATAAGTCATCTCTCCGGTGATTTTATTGGGCCTTCAGCTTCCCTCCCATGTTTCCATTATGCAATGATTGTAATGCAATTACAGTAGGGAAGTTTATTCTTTATGTAAAGAATGTGGCTATGAAATCCAAAATGTAATCACTGGGACCAATTTCAGATATAATTCATTTTCATCTTACCCATTTTTCACTTGTTTGATTTTTTGATTGGATACCGAGTGCTTAATATTGTGCTCTTGAAACAGTTTTCTCTAAGAAGATGAATTTTAGATAAATGATTCCTCAGCTAAGCCAACTCAGTGTTTAGTATTGGATGGACTCATTCCCTTTATAAAAATGGAATTTCTGAAATAAAGAGATTGTCTTTTGGAAAGACACAGGCACATGAGCATATATTATGTTTACACCCACAATAGATAGAATAAACTAGAACAATAGCCTTGTTTACACAACTCAGCCTAGAAAATAACGGTGTGCAAAACATTTCACTCTTGAATGAGACATCTTTCTCCCAACAGTACACTTAGGAGCCATGTTTCATTCACCCAAAGATCCACAAAGCTGCTTTCATGCTTCAAAGAATTGGTACAATTGCATTCTCCCAAGGTGGGTCACTTAGTCTTGTACCATATGATGTTACTTTGGTGTTCCAATGGAGGTCATAAAAAAGATTGATTCCTATCCTTTGTTGTTTTGCCTTCCTTGCCATATGTAGGGCTGCGTAACATGTGCTCTTTCTTTGGTGGCTAGTCCGATCTATTGCTTGTTGCAGGGCTCCAGAGACCTAGAAAACTAAATTGTTCCTGTAGCAAGCACCCTGCAATTACTCAGGCTGTAACTACATAGACCTAACAAACCACATTGCTCCCCAGGTGGCTTTCTGGCTTTCTTGTGCCTTACTCTTTCTGCTATTAGGCCTTTTGCTGCTTCAGGGATCCAGGAGATTGAGCGTGAACCTTTCCAGAGTCATCTGATCTTGGCAAAGCTGTACTATATCCAATGTGTATCAAAACTCAAGTACTTCAAGATACCGAATAGATCTTATCAGTGTCAAAAAATATGTATTGAGCTTGTACTAAGAAATAGCCAATATATATATATAAAGAAAGAAACAACCAATATCCAATAGAAACATATTTAACAAAGCAATGTCTATTTTTAGGTTGTAAACATTCCAGGAAGCATTCCAGGAAGAGTAGAGGAAAGCACATATGAAAATGGATATTTTTAGACCTCCTGAGTGGCTTAGTTGGTTAAGTGTCCAACTTTGGCTTAGGTCATGATCTTGTGGTTCATAGGTTCAAGCCCAACACGTCAGGCTCTGGGCTGGCAGCTCAGAGCCCGGAGCCTGCTTCAGATTCTGTGTCTTCCTCTCCCTGCCCATTCTCTGTCTCTCAAAAATAAATAAATGTTAAAAAAAATTTAAAAACACTTTAAGTAAAAAAATGCTTATGGTTTTTTATATTTGAAATTGGAAGCCATTTCTTATTTATATCTTCTCACAAACTTTTCTGATGTTTCTTGAACTATTCTGGAATTATTAAACAAATGCTCATGCAATCAATCCCTTAAGTTTGTGTTGTCCTTTTTGCAAAATTATTCTACACAGAAAATGGGAAATATACTATCTTTCTCATTGAGCATGTATTTATTATCTAAATATAGTATTTGACAATTTTAGCTGGCTACATATAAGAGTTATAAGTTGTAGTAAATTTTGATACTCAAATAAACTGAAGTGCTGTGCAGCTATGTGTAGAAGAAGATATTGTGAGAATTAAATCCATGAGTGTGAGCCAGTTTATGTAAGGAAATGAAGATATTTGTAAACAAGAAAAAATGTTAAAGTGATCATTATTTAATTATTTATGATCCTAATCCTGTTGCTATATTTAAATTATTTTCTGTTTACACCCCTCTTTCTCCGCCACTTTGCTTTTCTTTTTTTAAGAAAAGGAGAACGAGTTTTTTGAAAACTACGTACAGTTGGTCCAGTCCCTCCCACATCTCAGGCAGTGGCTGAGCCCCTGATTGTAATGGCTGGGGTGGGGCCAGGGCCCAAACTCCCTTGGGAATCATGGAAGACAGACCCCACCATGGATCTTCATCTGTGACTTTACAACTCTAAATGGCCTGTTGGTGGTGGACAACAGACAAGGAATGGGCCCCTGCCCTGACCTAGTCAGCGCCTAGGTAGGGGAACACTATTCTTAAACTTGCCTGAAGAGGCCCAGCTATGCTGTCAGGAAGCCCTGGCTACTTCTCTCCCAAAAGGTCTTCCTAGACATGGAGGCAGACAGACCTCCTACCACCCCACTCCATGTTCCAGGCCCATGGGCTTTGCTGACTTGGAATGGTAGACATGAGACACCCTCCCTCCCATTGTTGATTCAGGGTCCAGGGCTCTTGGAATACTCCCCAGGCAGATCTAGGGTTGAGAGGTGAATGTGGGGGAGGGGGGGGTCACAGCTGAGGACCCAGGACTTTCCTGGATTAGGGGGGCTGTTTTGGGTGTCAGGGCGTCCTACTGTAGGAAGTCTGCTTTGTGTTGCATCACCCACTGGTCACCCACCAAGCAGAAGCTGCCAGAAGCTGTGTTTCATATGGGTGACAGATTTTCTCAATGATCAGCTCCTTAGAGAGGTAGAGAGGCTATAGAAGTGCTCACAGGTGTTCTTGCTGCAGGGGATGCAGAAGCCAAGGTGGAAGTCAAAACTTTGGGAAGAGCTGGTTGTGAATTAGTGCCTCTCAATCATGTGGAAGTTGTTGACAGGCCTATCTTCCTCTGTGAATTCCACCATGGCTCCCACTTACCTCTCATCAAGGAAGGCAGATGTGATGCCCAGAATTGGGATCCAGGTCTTGCCGGTTGATGCTCAATCACTCTGAGGCTGAGGCTTCTTCATTTCAAAGAGGACAGTGCCTGAAATTGTGTCTCAAATCTTGAACCTGATGAAGTCATTTTGTAGATATTCTCCTTGCAGGAACATAAGTAGG